GGTGGAGCAGCCGCTGCTGGCGCCGAACCACCAGGTTGCTCAGCTCCAGGATGGCCGCGATGTACTCGCTGGGCCGCCTGCGGGACACGGTGGGGACATCTGCATGGTGGACGCCGCAGGCCACCAGAAGTGTCCCCTCAACCTGAACACCTCCTCATTGCTGTCAGGACACACGTGGGAACGTGGGGTTGCCCACAAGGACACGATGGGACAGGCTGGTGCAGGCAGAGGGGACCTGGTGGGGACAGTGCTGGCATGTTGGGGGACACTGGTGGGGACAGAACCAAGGGGACCTCCAGGAGCAAGATGGGGAGACTGGAAAGGGTGTCTTGGTGGGGGGGACCCTGGTGGTGGGGACAGACTTGGGGTTCCTAAGACTGGGGGACTCCAGTGGGGACCAGAGGGGACTCCTAGAGAGGGGAGAACCTGGTGGAGGACAGGATGGGACATTGATGGGGGGCAGGACCAGGCTATGGAGAGACCCACAGGGGACCAAGTTGGAGCTGGGTTGACCTGGTGGCAAGACCTATGGTTGAGGGGCCCCAAGGTGGATCCAGAGGGGACTTGGGAGGGACACGGAGGGACACATGACGGTGCTCACTCCTGGCAGTGGCTGTTGTGGCTGAAGATGCATTTCTGGAGGCTGTCGAGGGTGAGCAGGGCCAAGGGCTCGAAGATGTCCAGCACCACCGGTCCCTCCGCTGCCGCCCGCCTCCACTTGTCCTGGGGGTGCAGGACGGGGTCTGGGTGTGGGTCAGGGTCTGGGTGCAGGTCGGGGGCCCGATGTGGGTTGGGGTCTGGATGCAGGGTCCAAATTTGGGGCAGTGGGTGTTGGTGGGTCTTCATGTGTACGTTGGGATCTGGGTGTAGGTCAAGGTGCAGGTGCAGGTTGGGGTCTGGGTGCAGGTTGGGGTCTGGGTGCAGGTTGGGATCTAGGTCCAGGTCAGGGTGTGGGTGCAGGACAGTGGGTGCAAGTTGGGGTCTGGGTGCAGGTTGGGGTCTGCATGGAGGTCTTGGTGCCCCAGGGAGCCTCACGTGCATGATCTGGGTGCTCTGGTTGAAGATGCCCATGTAGGACTTGAGGACGTCAGGGTGAAAAGCCGGTGTCAGCAGGCGCCGGTGCCGGCTCCACTTGTGCCCATGGCTCAACAGCAGCCCGTCCCCTGTGGTGAGAGACCCCTGGGGTCCAGGCGGGCACCCATGGGTGCCACCGCGCCACCAATGCCACCCGGCTGGCCCCACTCACCCAACCAGGGCTTGAGGAAGCCGTAGAAGAACTTGTCCTTGGGGGCCACCAAAGCTGCAAGAGAGCGGCGCTGCTTCTGGAGGTCTTGCACCCATGGTCTTTGTGACCATGACCACGTGAGGGGTGGGTGGGGGGCCTCAGGGACAGGGAACCCCCCACCCTTGGGGTGACCCACCCTGGAAGAGCCCAGGTGTCAAGTTGAGCGGTAACTGAGACACGTGGTGAGTCCCAATGGAGCGGGTGACACCTCGAGGACCCTCTGTGCAGAACCAAGGACCACCCCGTGATGCCACCCGCGCTGTTACAGCTTGCAGTCCTCCGGTCCCCAGACCCCATGGTGGGACATAGGCCAACTAGGGGATGCCCAAAGAGCTCCATCCATGTGTTGGTGGCCTGGGGACCATCCCACCCGAGCTGTCCCCTGGAGCTACCTGAGGCCAGGAGCACGGGCCGGATGGTGTCCGGGTGGAAGAGGCGGAGGACGGGCTGCCATGGGGCCACCCACCAGACACAGCAGTGATGATATTGCCCCACCAGGTCATCCACGTTCTGCAGACCTTCCTCTGTGGTCTTGGCCTGCGGCGTGGGGACAGGTTGGCCGAGGCCACTGGGGTCATGGTCACCTTAGGACGGGATCACCCTGGGTTCATGGACACCGTGGGGACACACTTGGGGCTCAAGGCTGGACCTAGGGACATGCTCATGTGTCCGTGGGTGGGATGCGTGGGCAGATGTGTCCGTGGGTTGGATGGGACATGTTCATGGATAGGACACAGGTCTATTGATGGGACTCATGCCTGTGGCTGTGGCACATGTCCTTGGAAGGGACATGTCCATGGGTGGGACATGTGCCTCTCGATGGGAATTGCCCATGGATGGGGCATGAAGTCCATGTGTGGGACACATGTCCAGGGATGGGACACAGCTCCACAAATGGGCCACATGTCCATGGATGGGATGCATGTCCAGGGATGGGACAGGTGTCTGGGGCTGGGACATGGGATCCACTAATGGGACACACGTTCATGGTTGGGATATGGGTCCCCCGATCCAACAT